GCGGCAAATACGTCTCGCTTCCTTCTTCAGTTCCCTATAACGGTCCCACATGGCTCGCGTTGCGCCCGATCGCAGCGTGGCCCTGTAGGCGGCATCTTTTTTCTCTGCGGCTTCTTGACATTCCTCATCGTACCAGTTGTTCTTTCGGGCTCGCTGAAATCCAACTACTTCTTCGGCGGCGGTACTTAATGATTGGGAAATGTGGTTCCACTGCTCGCGTACGTCGGATTGTTGAAGAGTGCTCTCAGAGAGCAGGTGTGTGAGTCGAGTGGCGAATAAATTGGCCGTCTGTTGTGATTGCAGCTTTTCGACGTTAAGCTTTCCTTGCATTGTTGGGTGCACATTTTTTGCTGCACAGAGGTGCGTATCTTGGCTACAACAAGATAGTGGTCCGAGTCGATGTTTGGCCCTCGGAGTGTACGTACGTCCAAAACGCTTGAAGCATGCCTTCCGTCTATCACAACATGATCGATTTGGTTTCTCGTTTTTCGATCTGGAGACAGCCATGTAGCTTGGTGGATGTTCTTATGCTGGAACCTAGTACTACATATTACCATATTTCGGGCCCCGGCGAAGTCGATCAGCCTCAGTCCGTTATCGGACGTTTCGTCGTGGAGGCTGAATTTTCCGACAGTGGCGCCAAAGATCCCTTCCTTGCCCACCTTGGCATTAAAATCGCCAAGCACGATTTTGACATCGTGTCGGGGGCAGCGCTCATATGTACGTTCCAAGCGCTCATAGAAGAGATCCTTGGACGCCTCATCCTTCTCTTCCGTCGGGGCATGGGCGCAGATGAGCGAGATGTTGAAGAATCTAGCTTTGATGCGGATTGTGGCTAGACGTTCGTCCAACGGGGTGAACGCCAGTACTCGGCGACGGAGTCTCTCTCCTACCACGAATCCAACACCGAATTTGCGCTCCTTTACGTGGCAACTGTAGTAGACGTCGCAAGGCTTCACGCTTACTTTACCTTGCCCCGTCCATCGCATTTCTTGGATGGCGGTGATGCCAGCCGGGCAGAGGCACCTTCCCCATTAAGGGTCCGGATATTCCAGGTGCATACCCTTAAATCATAGTCCTTTATACGTTTGCCGTGGTCGTCATCAGAAAAAGGGGGTCTCATCCGAGGCTGTTTGCTTCTTTTCATTGGGCGGGGTTTTAACGTGGCGGGACCCAAACCCAGCGCACACAAAGTTTTACGCCTTAAAACGTTACCAAGGTACCTAAAATTGCGGTTACAAGAAGTGGAATGTTCGGTAACAAGCAGAATAGGCCTGAAAGGCTATTTATTTGAAGCAAGTTAAAAACAATGGCAGAATACTTGTTTTATGTATGCATTCATTTGTCAGTGCTAACAAACCGCGCTGTCAAATCAACAGTGAAACAAAACAAACAGAACGGATCATAAATTGAACCAGGGGGTTTACCCTGTAATGCGATGCGATAGCAAAATAGCGGACATCCGGAATACTGGCACTAAGGCATCCAATCCCGGACCATTTTGTGAATCTCTGGATTTCGGAATCTTACATTGGTAATCCCGGGATCCCGGAACATGATTACCATTAATTAAAATATGATAACAAACTAGTTTTGGAGAAAAAAGGAAAAATGTCAAGCCAATCGAAATTGTGACACCAAATTTAGTGTCCGATATGAAAAATAATGCCTCATGTATATGTTATATATATTATGGCATAGAATAATAGTAGCGTTAGAATTGTAGTATATTATTTGATTATTGGCAGGGTTGCATTTTATAATTATTTTATGCCATTACAGTGTCTGAATGTCGTTTTATTTTAATTTGGTCGTAAATTACATTATATCCCGGGATCTGGGCTTGATCCCGGAATTTAGGGACTCAAGAAAGTACACGGGACTCCCGGGATTCGGGATCCCGAATCCCGGTACTAGATGCCTTAACTGGCGCCCTACAATGCGCAAGTGCATTGAAAATTGCGCTTTATTGCGAAGTTACACGATCAATAACTTGATTTAAAGTTGATCACGTTGATCTCACATACAGCCTGTCAAAATTCATTTTAATTGGCAGCTGTGAAATTGGCTGCACGCAACATTTTAATAAATTTTAGTTTCAAAATGCAGTCGTCAAGAAAACAACTTAAAATTCTCGCCTCGCGCTATTTAGCGGTATAAAAGCTGCAATAATTTTTGTATGAAATAGGAACAGGAAAAAATGGGCTTCATCGCGAGTTTCGCCCGAAAACAAATTCACCCGAATTTTCTTCATCCGCCCGTAGCGAATACTCGGAAACGAAAAGTGAAACGGTTCGCGGAAAATTAAACTCATGATCACGCTGAATGTTACTCATACGTCATATCGTACATGACCCTACTTGTACAAGGCGTATGAGTAACATTTTCCATGCGAATGATTGGGCGCGCTTCTAACACGCAACTGTTTACCTCAACTGTTGCTGAAATGCTGTAAACTGTTGAGTTCAACATTTACGTCTTAGAAACGGTATGATACATAAACTGCCAAACGAACAGATGACATTTGTAAACAAGCAAAATTAAATAAAACAGCACAAAAATAAAAGAAAAATATTAAGCTAAAAATATGGACAGCACAGGATTTATAATGGAGTTTTTCTTATTTTACTTTTAATATATGTATTCCCTGTGGGAAAAATCTCTAGTTCTGAACTGGGGCGCTTCTAGTACATTTAGACCCAGTACTGGTTCGCGATAAATCTCTTTTGCATGCAAGCAACTGGCGAATTTAACATGGCGATGTCCTAGGAAGTGTCAATTGCCGCCCGCTGCATCCCTTTTTCGATAGTTTCGAACTAGTCCTAAATTCTATAGTTTCGAACCAGTTCTGAAATCGACAGACGAAAGAAAAAAAGTATCATGATTTTTCAATCTTTTTAGTTCTTCCGTGTGTGCGATTTTAAGTTATCTTGGAAGAAATGTGTTTTCAATTTGAAATTAAATTTGTTTGAATGATTGTAAGAAATGTACGTTTACATACCTTTAGATGTAGCTGAGTTTGCAGAGGTGCTCGCTGTTATTTCTTAGATTCCAGACGGTCCCAAGATGTTGAAATGTTAACACAAATTTTAGTTTCGTATTACCAAGCTATGAAAAAGCATCTGCGAAGCGCAGAATAGAAGCGTATTTGAACGAAAAAGCCGCCGGACACATATCTATGTAAAGTAAACAAGCCCCCCCGCTGCATCCCTTATTCGAAAGTTCCGAACTTGTTCTAAATTCGACAAATAAGATCTAGTTCGTTCTGCATCCCTTTTTCTATAGTTCCGAACCATTTCTAAACTCGTCACTTTAGATATCGCTTTCTAGTGAAAAAAAACTGAAAAAAATTAGTCTTTTAAAAGTACCACTTTTCGCTGATTTTGGACTGGTGGGGATCTAGTTCATATCGGACTAGTTCCTTTTTGGTGCTAAAGACCTAGTACGGAACTAGAAATTTGATTCACTAGTCCGCGGTTTCCCTGCAAGGTTTGTACGTGTATTTTATTTTATCAACAGCCAGTTTCGCCAGCAGACAAATTATTTTTTTATTTGAATTTTCTATAAAAACTGACGGAAGGGAAACACCATTTTTAACTTATATAAATTGTTGACTTTATGTAACGAAATAATTTTATGATGGAAAAAATGACGTAAAGTTGTCAACCGTTGAGCTGAGCGGAACTACTCAACTGTGCGTTTGTGAAACAAACACTCAACAGTTTAGCAACAGCTGCATCTTAGAAATGCGCCCATTGAATTTTTTTCATTCGCAATATCTTGGAAAAATGGCCTGATCTTGTATCGGCGTTTTTTGTGCCATTTTAGCGTCCCAAGAGTGTTATTGAATCATGTGTACTTCATGCAGTAAGCATCTCATGTGGAAGTTGTTTTGTTGAGTGCGTTTAGTACACACTCACACGCCGGTACACAAAATACTGAGGAAAAGATTTTGAACTTGTATTGGAAGCTCTGCCAACGCTGTGCATCACAGATCTAAACGCATAAATGCCTCATAACCACGTAAACTTACTTAATTTTGTATGAAACCCGATTAATTTACGAAATTTAAGCGTTTAGATTAATACCTATAATGTAATTTTAGATATATATTTGCAACAAATCCACAAAAGAAGCGTTTCTATCAAATTTGTTATAATACTGCATACTGTGTCTGATGGATAACAAACAATTTTAAATGTAAAGAAATTGTTTGGCTTAGAGTGGGAGAACACTAAAAGTATGCAAGCGAAAAATCTTTCTTTCCGTTTATTTTTTATCACTGGTTCTTACAAAAAGTAAATATGATTTACCATTGGGTTAGTGATAGAGAGCGCCGATAACTTTTCGCGCATTTTCTTTTCGAATCGCATTGCTTTTCGCATCGTATTACATTGTAGCTCCCTAGGATCAGGATCATATCGTTGTTACATTTGCGTTCAAAATTTAAATCCGGATCCCGATCATTGCCCAAAAAAAAACACGGCTAGTATGTACACGAATTGTATACAGTTCTCGATTCTAATGTAGTTCTCTAATGGAAAATCAGGCTAGAAAACTATGTTAGAATTTGTTTAGAGAATGATTTGAAAAACACTAGACATTAGAATCCAATTAGAATTCAGCGTTAGCTTACGATTAGATATCTAACAACTTTCTCGATATTGAGAACAAAGTCCCCTTTAGAAAATGTTGTAATTCTCGATAGTTTCTCTAATCTAATTAAAAATCGTTTTCTAATCGTTCTCTAACCTTAATGTTTGTTGGGTATGTGCAATGTCATTCAGCGGGAAGTACTCTATAGTACGAATGTTCTGCATACATGGTTAGATAAAATTCAATTAACCAAAGATGATTATAGTAAAATGTGATGATCACTCAATATGTATATTCCCTTTCCTGTTTAATAAGGTTGTTTTATATATTTAAAAGCATAGGTTTAGTCGTATAGGTATAAGTTATTCTGTAGTTCTACATCTTCATTATCACTTTATATTTACATATATGTACGTACGACATGCGTATAGGTTGATTTCGCTAGCAAGCAATCATTTTGGAAAGCACTGAAACCACCGGCTAAGGATAAATGCGGTGAATTGCTTTCATCGCTCTGCTATCATCCATCAAATTCAGTACTAACATTAACATTGATTAAGGCGCGAAATCTGAAAGCAAAAGATATCAATGGCAAATCAGGTATGTAACTGGTAATCCGGCATCCACGCACCTACACACTCATGTTTAGTTTCATAAATACGTGTTCAAAATTCTATTCGCATTAATATTTTCGATATCATGACATCGTGGTTCTCCTGGAGTTCAGCTGGTGACAAGAGACGGCTATAAGCTAATGATTCCATGCATTACCGATTTTTATGCAATGCGCTAGCGCCAGGCAATGCGACACCTATATTGAAAATATCACATTCAAGCGATTTTGTGCATTACTAGTCCTTAGGCAATTCCCTAGCGATTGGTAGTCGGCAATAGATAATCGCTAGCGAAAGGTCATACCACGCGTACCACTCTGTACCCTCCAATGACATCGCCATGTTAAATTCGTTGGGGGAAGGAATTGGTGTCGCAAATTTTGTCACTAGTAACCGTCCTGGTACCACTAACGACTCGCCAGGAATGTCGCTATCGAATTGCCTAGCAATCGGGAATGCATGAAATCGTTAGCTTATGTTCGTCTCTTGTCACCAGCTGAACTCCAGCAGAAGTACGGAAGATGCATGTACATACATACATACATAAGTGGCAAACACGCAAAGGCTTTTCCATGCATACACCCACATGTGCATATACATACATAAATATCATATCGCAGGTTTAATAATAAAGCAAATTGCTTAAAAAATTTAATTTTGTTGTAGTACACAATCACAGTTTGACCAATCCATATATGTATGTATACAAAAAAAAACGATGGAAAGACTTATATATTCGCCATTTTCGAGAAGTATAGTTATCTGTTTGACTGAATATATTCGCCTTATCAAGCTTATAATTGTATGACTAAATCTCCAAAAAGGTAGATTCCCATTATTATTAAGCGAGCGATATACATATATACACATAATTATTTTCGTATACGTATGTAGCTTTCCACATAAGAACATTAATACACATACATATGTACATATGTATGTACATAAATACATACATACAGATACAAATACCTATACATGCATATGTATACATACATGTGCATATATACTTAATCACCGACGCACAGTGGGAGCATTTGATACAAAAATTGGACATAAATGGTAAAAATGGGCCTACAACTTTCAAAATTGGTACACAAGCTTTCTTGATGAGTATTAGTAAGTAGTGCTAAAATGAACTTAATCCGTTTACAAATACGCCCACTCCCCGGAAATTTTGAAAAATGTTTAAATTGCAATATCTTCAAAACTATTAAAATCAGAATGCCAAACACGATATATATTAACATATTTGAAGTAAAAACTTAGTTATAGGATGATAATTTAAAAGCGCGTGAGATATTTTATTAAGTATTTTTATCCCAAAAAACCAAATACTCAAAAAAATATCAGCTTAAAATTACGCCTCCACAAATCCCCACCTTCCCCACAAGAGATAAGGTTTTTAAAAATGCGGAGTTAAGAAAATGTAATTGAAAAGTATAATACTATTGTGTAAAAATCGCTAATAAGTATGTACATAAGTATTTAGATAATGAAATTTATAATAACACTTTTTTTGTAAAAATAAATGAAGGCGGAATAAATTTTATTTCGATTTTATTGCAAAACGAATGAAAATAATTTAAGTTTTCTTTCAAACCAAGCAGCATATTTTTCTCGTTTGATATTACTTGTAAGGGGGTCTGAAGAGATAATGCAATACATCCTCGTTATCAGCCACCCTAGGGTACACCTACTATTATTAAGCCAGGCAATTTTAAAAATCTTATTCGACGTTTCCTGAGTTTATTCCGATAGCCATCTAATCGGAATTTCTAGTTCTTCCATGCGTGCCACTTTGTGAACAGATGGGGGCTATTGTACCAGCCATATTGCTGACTAGAAATGTCTTCTGTTTTCATTGTATACATTTTAACTAACTATTTGCTCCCCGCTAGATAAAAAAAGACTCTTATCCATACCAGTGATTTTGGAAACAATTCCTGGTTCAGAAAAGAAGCGCCGCGCAGTGTTGGCATCGTTTGAATTTACATACCCCGCTTTTGTAAAATCCACTCTAATTGAAAGCTCTCCTTTTATATTAAATTCGTGGTTATAGTAAATATGCCATAAACACTCCATATATCTTATCCAACAATGCAATTGGAAAGGCCGAATTTATAGTTTTTAGTGTTCATCTGTAAAGTGTTAAACTTCATTTATATTTTTCGTAATCATCCCTGATGGCTTTGCTCCACAAATGTTGCATGGTGTTGCTGATTGCTGACCATTCAAAACATTGCAGACTTTTCTATCGATTATGATGCAACTTAATTTCACTTTAATATTTAGTTCTAATTCTTCTTATACAATGCATACCAGCCCGAGTGTTTCTATACACTTCTTCAAAGTCTCTTAGATTGAAATTTTATTGGGCAGCAAGTCTGTAGATGACAGTGATTCACGATTAATGTCATCGAAAGTTTTTTGAAGTTGAACAAACGTCATCGTAAAGATACTACTGTCCGTGAAATTTTGCCAATCGTTAAAAGGCTTTGCTTGGGCAGATGTTGGTAATCAGTTTGGTGTCAATTCATATGTATGTGCATTTATTTAAAATTTGTTTCGTTTTGTTTTTCCTATCTACGAAAAAGCATATGTGAAATGCATAAAAAAATGTTTTCAAAGAATTTTTCGAATGCGGTTATTTGAATAGAAGTTTATATAAAACAAGCTCAAATCAGCTTGGCTCCAAATCATATCGCACACCTAGATCTAAAGTGAGCTGACTCAAAAGTCAGATCCGGAACTATAACTGCTTGTGGATCATACAGATTCAACACCAATTAATACAAAGACTGGTATAACAGTAGTTTTTAGTTAGTGTATATAAGTAAAAACGGTCGTTTCAACCTAAACTAATAACTTCTACTTCACAAACCGTTTTGGTTTTTGTATTGGTCAACGCAAAAGTTCTTATCAGGCGTCGCGAAGCAAGCCGGGCATTTGCTAGCATATCAATAAAACGATAAACTATTTAAAAATAAAATTCAATTCTTATACATTGATATATCATGTAAGAATATGGTTAATAAATTAATTACAGCTCTTCATAGCAATGAATAAATTTCACAAATAAAATGGCAGCATTTTTACTTAAGCTAAGCCTCACTGTATTGCTAAACGTGAAACAATTTCAAAACTTTGTTTCGCTTTTTCTTATCCGAGGTGCCATTTGTCGATCAGCATTGAAACAAACAGATTTACTAACACATTCATTTCTTTTGAAGTTTTGGCCACGATCTCCACTGTGCGACGGTAAATCGACAAGAACGGTATTGTAAAAAATTATTTGTAAATTATTTTCTCGCGTAAACCAGTCATGATAAAAACCCTTCAAATAGATCGGAAAAAAGTATTTAAGGATTTTCCCTGACACCGAAAATCAAATGAATGACTTTATCCGAAATTAAACTTTCATTGAACATTAAAATAATATTTAACTTGCAATAATTCTAATAATATTCGTGTATTTATACATATGTATTTATAACTAAGCTGAAATAAAACTCAACTCTGCAAAATAATATTTAATACTGGGTGGCGCCGAATGAGCTATATGGTTTGAATTCTTTATAACAGTTTTTTTTTACTCTATGCCAACGGGATCCACGCCTGGAAATGACCTGCCAGCAGCGTTGCCGAATGCTTTTGCTGAAAAATCGTCATTTTACCTTGAAAAAATCGTAATTTCGGCCAAAAAACCTCAAATTTTTGATTATAATACTGGGTGGCGCCGAATGAGCTATATGGTTTGAATTCTTTTTAACAGTTTTCTTTGGCGATATTTGAAAGAAAGTGTGTACGTTAACAAACCAAGAACCATTCTCCAACTGAAATGAAATCATGGCCATTACACCCGAAATTCTGCGAAAAGTTATGGAAAATATGCTAAGAAGAGCACGTATGTGCGAAGCAGAAAATGGACATCACTTACAGGATATCATTTTTCAAAGCTAATTGCAAAAAATTCCCCAATAATATACTGTATTTAAAAAAAATTACAATAATCGCATAAATAAAAAAGTTATAAACCATTTAAACCATATAGCTCATTCGGCGCCACCCAGTATATAGTGAAATCCGGTGGTTGGAGAAAATATCTCCCGGATCAGTATCCATTTAAAGAGGCGCCGATGTCAACCCCTACAACACCAAACTTCCAACTTTGCAACAGCTTAAAACTACGCCAACCTGTCAACAGTGTCAACCAAACTGCATCAAAGGCATGGAATCCGCTCATTATTACGTACATAAGGCTAAAGTCCCTTCCAAAATAGAAAGGGGTTGAAACCAAATGTCCAACAAATTGACTGTCTGGAAATTTTCAGCGTCCAATCTTATATAAATATGTAGGTGCGAGAATAGCTGGGATTGTCAGTTATGGAAAGGATCTTATAAATAAGGATCAAACGTACTGCAGAGAATTTTAATAATAATAATAGATTGGCGCTTACACATATGTTAGTGTTTGGCCGAGCTTCTCCTCAGAGAATTTTAATTCAAATTAATTGAGAATGGATCATCTACATTCTCTTCCAACGACAAGCTAGTAGAGTAGTCAGTTTATTAGAGATCTTTTATGTATTATCCAATGTATATCCCTTCTTGATAATAGACTGGCTACCGATTACCTACGACCTGAAATAGAATTTCACAGGCCTTGCGGGGAGAACGTGATATCTCCGCCTGGACACATCATCTGTACACCGGTGACTCCAAAATGGAACGCGGAGTTGGAGGAGGTGTTTACTCCGAACCCCTTAGATTAAAAAGATGAATACATCTACCCGATTTCACAAGTGTTTTCCCGATTTTCCAAATGTTCACTCTCCGAGTTTTTCTCCATGGCTACTTTAGTCATCCGCGTTAGTTCTGCAACAAAGTTAATGTATGTTATTATAAAAAACAAACACAAAACAATGCATATTTGTTTGAAAGCAAACTTTAGGCATAAAAATAGGCCATACGTTATTTTGATTGAAAATTGCTCAGAAACGAAAAAAAAATGTAGTCAATTTGTACAAACTTGTACATACATACATATATAAATATACCATTTTGAGCTAGTACGTACACTTATTAGGCTTGAGTTGCAAATATTCTCACCATCACTGTATATATGTAAATAGCTGTGTGTTCTATCAACCCTTTTGAACGTCGATGTTGTACAATCTTATACTACATTCCTTAATTTTAAGTATTCGTGCAAAAGCTTGTTTAATTCAGAACGGAAAACCAATTCATGAGTCAACCGATTCCCACACGCTATAAAACAAATACTCCTCATACGTGTATGTATGTATATAAAAAAAGGCTTAGTTAACTATAAAAATAATAATTCAAAACTACATACATACTTCCTATTTCTAGATGAAAACATACATACATTCCACCTATGCACAAAAAAAAATCATAAGCAATCACTGTCATAAAATCCATTCGAAAAATCCTTTCAGATCCGTATGTTAAGGTGTGGCTACAATTCGGCGATAAACGCGTTGAAAAACGAAAGACTCCAATATTTAATTGCACACTCAATCCTGTCTTTAATGAGTCCTTTAGTTTCAATGTACCATGGGAAAAGATACGCGAATGCTCCTTAGATGTTATGGTAATGGATTTTGATAATATTGGACGAAATGAGTTAATTGGAAGAATTTTATTGGCTGGTGAGTAAAGAACTAAGAGGCAAAGAAATACATTCAAGCACATCAACATTTCAAAAGATATCAAATAATTTTGCATAGGCCAAATATAGATACATGTGTATGTTTGTGCCTAAACAAATATGCGACATTAATTTTCCCTCAAGCTTAAATTTACATAAAACTCTTGAATGATGTTTTCCTTATAACAAATACATTGCATGTCCTTTTTAAACATTGATATATGTACATACCTTACACAAATTTTTTAAATTCATAATAATGGATTCTAAAATATATGAGCTCGAAGTAGAGGTAATCTCCATTTACAAAGGACAAATCTTAAAATAAATATATAATGCAATGCTATGATGATACACCTTTTTTACGTGCAAAGCTATTGAAATCCAAGTCTGAAACTTATCTATAACATCTTCATACATATCTACATACCTTACTTACAAATCTTTTTAAGATATAAAGACAGAGGTCGTTTTGTTTCCTATATGCTATGCACTCCAACCAAGTATAGAAACTTATCATAATTATTTTGGTATGGAAGAATCGATAAATATGTACAACTCCTCCAGATCGCAACCATTCTTTATGAAAGTAAATTTTTGTCACCATCATTAGAGCAGCAGTTCAGAGTACATAATACGAATTCTCTAAGGCTTTTCACACACTTCTTACTCGCACTTTTTGATATTGAGAGCATATTAGATAAAGAATTTTGGGCCCATTGGCTGCTCCAATTTCGCTTTCCTATTGTTTGGCGCTGAAAGCCCCTAAGCGATTTTGACCGAGTCCAACAAAGCACGCCAGTCATTGCTCTTCTGCGCCAACTGACGGCAGTTGGAAATACCAAGTAAAACCAGGTCCTTCTCCACCTGGTCTTTCCATCATCGCGGCCCGCGTTGAATACCTTCATAGCTGGAGCATTTCTGTCCATTGGCATAACATGACCAAGCCAGCGTGGCCGCTGTAATTTAATTCAGCACACTATATCTATATCGTCGTAAGGCACACAAAAATCGTTTCATCGTTTTCATGAGAACTATACTTCCCAATTGCCTACCCAGTCCAAAGTAGCACTTGTTGGCAAGAGTGATTCTCTGTTCGATTTCAAGGCTTGCCATTATTGGTGTTAATGCTGGTTCCTAAATAAACGAAGTCGTATACTTTTTCAAACTTGTAACTGCCAACAGTGACGTGGTGGCGAAACTCTGACTGTTTGTTTGATGACAGGAGATACTCAGTTTTGTTCTCGTTGACCACCGGACCCTCATGTGTTACCTCTATCTAATTCCGAGAAGGCAGAACGGATGGAGCCCTTTCTTTTACGCTCTTGTAAATAATTGAGCCTGAGCGGTTCAGTTCTGCGGTTCTTATCATCTTCTCCAACATTAGATTAAAGAAATCACATGCCTTAAACCTCGTTTGGTGTCAAACGGCTCGGAGAGATCTATCCCAATTCTGACGAATCTGGTGGTAAGCTCAACGTCGTTTAATACAGCCGTATTAGTTTCGCGGAGATACCTAATCCATACATCTCGGAAGAAACACAACTTCTTTTCGTACTGTCGAAAGCGGCTTTGAAATCGACAAATAGATGGTGTGTGACTTTCCTATTCTCGCGAGTCCTTTCCAAGATTGGGCGTATTGTGAATACCTGATAAGTCACAGTCAGTTCGCTTACGGTGGTCTTCAGCCTTTCAGACAATATACTCCATAAGGACTGGTAATATATGCTTAGGTGCTATGCTGATCACGCGCTAGTTGGCGCTTATTGTGGCGTTTCCTTCCTTGTGGATGGGGCAAAGCACACTTAAATTCCAGCCGGCGGGTATGCGTTCATCTCACCATGTTCAAGAGCACCTTAGCAGCTCTTCGCCGTCAGCTCCCACAGCTTTGTTGTTTTTCAGCCGCGAAATCGCTATTCGTACCTCGTCATAGTCAGGCGATGGAACATCGACTACGGCATCATCGACTATATATTGTCACCTTCAATGCAAAAGACCAAAAAAACGTCTTAAATTAACATAGAAAATACGTACAGAGTATTTCCAAGGATTCCGTTAAATCATATTTTCATCTAAGATATGGCTTTGAAATTTGGTATTGAATGCCAACCAACGAAATATTTTAACAAGCAAATTTCTGAAAAATTGTCATATAGGGCCTTTTACATTTATAATGTAATATATATAGATATCAAATTGCCGATTTTGTGAAACTAGCACATTAGCTGATGGCGTTACTTTAACCCCACGTTCCCATGTTTCAGCCCCCCAAACTTCGAAATGCGTCCACATGAATATTCAATAGTTTTGACGTTTTAAATAAATATATGTAATATTTAGATAAGGAAACTAGTATAGACAAACGTGTCACCCAACTACAAATAACGCAGTGCTAGAAAAGTGTTAAGAAAACTTCCTCCCTCAACCCTCATGATTTACATAGATATTTAATACATACACATATTTCAGTTGTGCATCTGAGAAGCTTGGAAGCGTAGCGCAAAAAGCTCGATAGGTGGCGCTGGAGTTGGTATGTCTCCAAAAACCGTATTTAAAGTCCGAACATAAATTATTTAAGTAAAGTTAAATTATTTTGTTCTAAAATAAGCCCAATTCAAGTTTAGAACATATGTGCATAAGACATGTAAACGAAGATTTGGGTCCGAAAATTGGTCCAATGGCTGGCGCTGGATTTGAGATATTTCCAGTCCGATTTTATTTTGTATTCTAATTCAAAATATTCCGACTAGATTCAAATTGTGAATCTATATTTATTACGTGAATATAAAAATGTATTTATTAAAAAATTTTCCAGATAGATATGTATGTATCACAGGAGTCCAAATATTAAAAAATTTATATTCAGCCATTCTGGATTAATTTTTGAAAAATCATTGGATTTGTTTCACAAGCAACCACTATCGTCGAACCAATCAAAATATGAAAGGAAATATATGAAAAGCCCCAGTTCAAATAATACCCGCATATGTAAATACATATGTAAGTACATACCAGGGAACGGATTTTTTGGACCCAACCCCTATAAAAAAGGGCAAAACCAAATAGGGGAATAAGCACTGAAAATCGCAACAAAAGGTAAGAAAGCCAAAGAGAGAAATAGGCAGAAAAGGGAACTAACAACTGAAAAAAGCAAATAGAGGGATTTATTTTTGAAATTTGAATTGTACAAGAAAAATGAGAAAAAGAAACTACAAATTTAGTTCCATAATATGAAAAATTTTTACGTTGATTTCATTTCATTTCATTTGTTTAACTCTATGAACAAAAAACCTTACGGAATAGATGACAACTTAATTACAAATGTTGGCGATAATGTTAAAAAACTAAAAATGTTAAACAAACTCCATGAGTAGAGAGCCTCAATCTTCGCCATCCACCAGATTTTTGGAGAAGACACTAGATTATAAAATTTACACACACCATTTTTTTATCGATGTTAAAGCCAATATCCATAGCACTTCTCTTTGTGCCCGCACGACGCCATGTCTAAATCTGGGATCCCCGAAAAACTAATACCGTTCATTCTCGTGCGACTATTTCAAGCTGATGCTGGCCTGAGAAACAGGGTTATCTAGCATAGATACAACCAAAAATGTCAGCATGGAGATCAAGCAAAGATAACTCTTGCCGACAGGTGCTACTTTAGGCTCTGTAGGCAATTAAACAGCAGAGCTATTTACGCTCTACAAATCTCTCATCATGACTATACGATTATGAACGAAAATAAGACGCATTTGCCCTGTTCGCGTGGGCGACGAGTACCGAAGAAAATGGAATGACGAACTGTACGAGCTTTTTAATGGCATGGGCATAGTTTAGTGCATGGAAATTTAACTATTGCACTGGATTGGGCATATTGTATACATGGATTACGAGGCTCCAGTGAAAATATTCTTCGACTTGGCACCCATGGCTGGACAACGAAGAAAAGGGCGCCCACGAACCCGATGGAAGGACCAAGTGCAGAAGGACCTGTGTGCACTCGGGATGTACAACTCGCGCAACCTCGCGAAGGAGAAAGTAAATTGGCGAGGTTTTTTGGTCTCTATCCAAACCGGTGAACGGTCGTAGAGTTAATCAAGAAGAAGATGTCTGAAAATGGGCTTTTATTTTTAATATGTATTAAAAATTTTGGAAAAACTTCACCACGGTCACCGAGTGGTGATGTCTAGAAATTTGTATCGAGAATGAGTTACGCTCTTTAAAAAACCCCACTCTGTATCTGCAAAAATGTAGAAATCGTGTTATCCCTGCTTTAGTTAAAGGCAAAAAGGGGTAAATATCATCAAAAAGGAAAAAGGGCACATCAAATGTTTATATTTGGACTCAGAGAAAGCTATTGGGTCGATTATCGATAGCAACTAGGGATGCGTATCGGCAATGAGAGTACGGTATATCGGTATCGCGATATTCTAAATTCACAATATCCGATACCAATATATCTACTAAAATAATATCTATATATTGAATATCGGAAATATCGAAAACGAAATGGTTAAGAAATATATGTTTTTTGGGTATATTTATAATTAAAAGACAAATATAAATTCAAATAACGAAGTTACTTTGGATAAGATGCACTTTAATGAGTTTGAAAAAATAGTAACCAGAGTTCAGAAACTTTGATTTTCGCCTCCTCATAAGCAAGTTCAAAGAGAGACACCTTTTCATATTTACATATGTATTTCTAAATGTGGAGTACAAATAGTACCGTTCAATTGGTTTTCCAGATGACATCAAAAAAACAGAATTTTAAAGTTGGTTGTTCGGTATACAAAATTTCACGATCAATTGAATCTGCTAAAGCCTAAAATGCCATACAGCGGCTCTGGTTTGTCTTGGTTAGCTAATATTATTTTTATGCAAGAAGTATTTTGCCTTTGCTGTAGATTTTCTTGAAGAAATAACTTTACGAGCCTTCATTTCTTGAGAATTGTACACTGATTTAAGAAATTTAGATATTTTTATGAATTTTTGTTC